TAAACTTTTCAACTAGCTTTGACTTTTCAAAGTCAAGCTTATCATCGAATCTAAAATGAATAGATTCTTCAACAATAAGAGTTTCATTGGTATACATTATGTAGCCTTTTGAGCATCCATAGTATCCTAACATGATACACTTTTGTACTTTAGAATTAAACTTGTTAAGATTCTCCTTAGTATTCAGAATAAAACAATCACATCCAAAAGGATGAAAGTATGAAATGTTAGGTTTTCTGTTCTTCCATAATTCATAAGAAGTCTTACTCATAATAGGTCTTATGGAGACTCTGTTCTGAATGTAACATGTTGCGTTGATTTCTTCTGCCCAGTAGTGCTTGGCCATGTTACTCTCGTTGATCATGGTTCTAGTCATTTCTTACAAAGTCCTATTCTTCCTCTCTACAGCTCAATTTTTTATGGATTTCTAGGGCAGAAGAAATCATGGGAAATTTCATTTTCAACAAAAATATTTTCAAAGTTTTTATTTTTAAACTCGCCACCATGATTACTTTTGACTGTGACAATTATGAGATTCTTCTAATTTTTCACTTGAGAACAGAAGGTAGTAAACAGAGAATGTGACTCATCCTTGTGTTTAAGAAACTTAATCTGAGTCCATTTGATATAGTCATCAACAATGACTAATCAATACTTCTTACCATTGACTGACGCAGTTTTCACTAGTCCAAATAGGTCAATGTGCAGAAGCTCCAAAGTCCTAGAGGTAGAAATAACATTCTTTTCTTTAAAAGAAGTTTTTGTAAACTTTCCTTTCTGACATGCTTCTTAAACAGCTTCTTAAGAGAACTTTAAATTTGGATAGCCTTTGACTAAGTCAAACTTATTTAGCTGAGAAATCTTTCTCATGCTAGCATAGCCCAAATATCTATGCAAAATCCATTGCTCTTCATTAACAGACTTAAGAAATTTTATGTTTGCTCTTTAAGATCAGAAAGTCCAATCTTGTATATGTATTTAGTTGCATGATTGAAACGAAACTTTGGTTTTAGTTTTTCCTTAGGTTTTTAAAGAGGTTATTATTTTTCTTTAAGCACAAAACCAACAGAAACAAAATGAGAATGAATATTATTTTGTTTATCTTCTTTTTCAGAATCAGATTCTTCATAATAATCACAACCAATACCTCTTGTACTGTTTCTGGGTTACGCCATAGATCATTGAAGCCATGACACTGGTACCTAAGCTTTTAGCAAGAAATTTCTGGAAAGATTTGTCATGTTTCTTTATGACATCCTCAGTGCTCACAGAATCTCCTGAAAGAATTTTCTTCTCAAGTTGGAAATCTTTCTTCTGAGAAAAAAGTTATCAATCTTAAGAATACAATTTTTTCATTCAAAGATGAAAGTTCTTCTTTAAGTTTATTGTGTTCTTTAGAAATAGATTCATAGACTTTTTAAGTTCCTTGATTTCTATCTTAAGCAACTCATGTTTTTCCAGGATTCCATTAATGAACATGTTAATTCAAAATGAGAAAGGTCAGAAAATACCTCTTATATGTCTGAATCAAAGTCTACATCAACTTCTGGATAAATTATCTCATCAAAAGCCTTAATGCTAGCCATCAGTGCTACGTTAGCTTGATCTTCTTTGGAATCGTCTTATGAAGAAACAAAATCATCCTATGTTGCCATTAGCTTTTTCTTCTTTCCTTTGAAAGCTTTCTTCTAGGGCTTGTCCTTTCTGAGGTTAGGACACTCGTTTTTGTAGTGGTCTGGTTCTTTCCACTCGTAGGAAGTGACATCTTTGTTTCCAAAAGACTTTCTTTGTCCAGAAGTAGACTCGAAGCGACCACATGTTCTTCTTGCTCCTATGAACTTGTTGCCTTGCTTCCTCTTCCAGATTTGGTTAACACTTTTGGACAAAAGCGACATATCATATTCATCTTTGTCACATTCTTCTTCAACCTCTTCAACTTGAAGAGCTCTAGTCTTCTCAGATCTACCACTTGACTTGAGAGATACATATATTCTTTTTCTTTGGGCTCATCCTCATTAAGCTCAATCTCGTGGATTCTCAAAGAGCTAACCAATTCTTCAAGAGAAGTGTTATTCAGATCTTTGGCAAGTTTGAGTGCAGTTATCATATGCCTCCATTTCGTTGGCAATATTTTGATCATCTTCTTTACATGACCTTTGTCTAGAACCTCCAGCCCTGCAACAAGAGTTTGAAACCTTGAGAACATGTTCTCAACAATTTCATCATCTTCTATCTTGAATGCCTCATACTTCTGAATCAAGGCAAGTGCCTTGGTTTCTTTTACTTGAGCATTTCCTTCATGAGTCATCTTCAAAGAATCAAAAATAGATTTTAGAGTGTCTTTATTAGTGATCTTTTCATACTCATTATAGGAGATAACATTCAGTGAGATGGTTCTAGCCTTGTAATGATCTTTATAATCTTTCTTGTGTTATTTTGTCATTACTCTTCTTTCTACTTTGTTACCACTAGCATATATTGGATGTGTATATCCATCGACTACCATATCCCATAGATCTATGTTGTGACCGAGAAAGAAACTTTCAATTCTATCCTTCCAGTAGTCAAATTTATCTCCATTAAAGATTGGAGGTTTGACACTATAGTTATCTCTTTCAATAATTTGTGCAGCAGGTGGATAGATTTTAGCCATAGTGTTTCTAAAAAATATGGATCTTTATTTGACACAGTGAAGTGTTTGATAACAATCAATACTAGAACGGAATCTCTGATACCAATTAAAGATGCGAGAAACACAATGGGGTTTAAATTGGGTTTCTAATAATAAAATCTTTTCGAAACCAAGCACTTGAAGTTAACACAAGAACAAAAATAAATGAACACAATTATTTTTATCCTAGTTCACTGTTAACTAAGTTAATCTAGTCCACCCACCAAGGTAATTTGTCTTTATCGACAAGGACTTAATCCACTATAACTAAACTGATTAGAGAATCCAAACAAAGACTAACTTCCAATGTTTACAAACACAAAGAACAACTATCAATGTCTTTTTTAGAATTTTGACTAAACCATAGTCTCTCGAGGAACTATCAACTTACTGTTGAATTATAAGTTTGTGTGTTTATAGTATTGCTTTTAAAAGTTGATTACATAGAAATAAAGTATAGATAATAACACAACAGTGTTAGAAGCAAGTTAGCAAATAACAGTTCCTTGCTAGCAAGCTTATGAACAAAAGTTCATTGATTTACAAAACTTTACCAAAAATTTACAATGTAATTTCAACAGCGCTTTAGCAAAATGAATCAACGCAAATTCGTTTTTTTTTTCAATTCTTCAAAGTCTTTCTTTTATAGTCAAAAAGAAATCTGTTGGAGGGTAGAATAAGAATACCAAGTTTCCATCTTTCTTCTTGTATAACGGTCAGTGTGAGTGGTAGACAACATCGTACCAATAGTACAGTCCATGCGCCACAAAATCAGAGCAATGGATGGAGGTGAACTTGTATTATTTCTCACGTAAATGTTTTTTACCTTATCTTCTAATCTTCAGAGGCTTCTGAATATATATATATATATATATATATATATATATATATATATATATATATATATATATATATATATATATATATATATATATATATATATATATATATTTATTTATTTATGTGTTTAGAGTCTTCAGAACTTGTTCAGCTGAACCTTGTCTTCAAAGTCTTTGGCACTTGGTCTTTAGAGCCTTGTGTTCAGAACCTTTCTTCAGAATCTTTAGAACGTGTTCTATAGAACATCGTCTTCAGAGTCTTCAGAACTGTTGATCTTCAAAATCTTCAGGACTTGTTCAATAAATTTTTTTCTTCAAATCTTCAGATCCTTAGAGGAAGAGAGCTTGGAATCATCAGAGCTTGAGAATCCTTCAGAAGCTTTACTATCAGAGTCACAATCAGAAGCTTTTAAAACTAATGTTCATCAGAACTGTTGTTTTAAAAACATTCTAAGCTATGAAACACGCACTTGTATCTCTTAGTGAGTTAAGTCCAGAATCTGATAACGTCCCACATTAAATCTTCAGAGTCATAATCGGTTAACAAAAACTACATATTAAACAAATCATTAGGGTACTAAATTTTTATCTAATCACCCATGTTATATTATCATCAAAACTCAATACCATATACAAAATCAGATCTTGTTCTTACAAATCTTTTCTTAAAGAAAATTTTCTTTTCACAAGAATTGAGTTATAATTTTAAATAAACCATGCAACAAATAATCTTCTATGTGCTTCTTCTCCCTCTTTTTCCTCCCTTTCTCAATGTGAAATATTTGTTCTATGTGATGTTTGTGTTTATCTTCTTTTTTTTATTTTTTTAATTTTAGATAATACAAATGAGGGAGAAGTATACTCTCATAATGAGTAGAGTGTACTCTATTTATTTGTGAGGGAGAGTTAACCACTTAAATCTTTTTCATCTTAATAGTTGTTTTACCACCTCCTTGAGATATACAATATCATCATTAAAAATATGAAAGCGTGGTTCTATATGTTATGCAAGTTACGATCATATTGTATGTGGCTTTGATGATGATAAAAGAACAAAAATAAAATAATCATGAGCATCGTCAAAATAGAAAATGATTGAAGCTATTAAAAAACTAAGCGGAGAATGTTTTGAGAGCAAATATATTTAGATGCAGAGATCAAAATCAAAAGGAACTGTCGTGAAAGCTAGTTCGGTCCTATTCTTGTTTGTAATTTTATTTGCTTAGGATCAATATTGTGTAAATAAGTGTGTTTACACAATCAATATGCTTTTAAAAACTTCATTTATTTAAAAACATTTTCTTAAAAGTAATGATGGTCACTATCTAATCAATAAACAAGTACCCTGACCAATTGGAAAATTGAACTGACTGAGGTTGAATCACCAATTGCATGAATTGAACTAATAGTGGAATAAATTTAGAGAAGGAGTTTTCTAGCTTCTTGTTCTTGAGCTTAGAGCCAAGTTGAGAGAGTTTGGGTTTGGCATGTTATTGAATTTGAAAGTAGATGTGGATCTTCCCATAGTTGTCACAAGTTGTTGCAGCCAAAAATGTGAGAAATGGTTTCTTTGGAAATTCATGCAAAGAGGAATTCATCTTGTTGCTCTTAGATATTGAAATCTTTGAAGGCCGAATTTGCTTGAGAATGAGATAATCTGTAATAATGATGGAAGTAGAATAATGATAAGAGTGTTATATATTTGTATGGTATAACATGAAGCAACAAAAAAGTGGTAAGAAGAAAGTTAAAACTTAAAAGCTTTGAATTGAAACATGAAAATGATGAAAGCGTAGAACTAGGAGCTCCCTTCAGTCCAAAACAGAAATTGGCAGTATAGTTGTTGCTTTGGGCTGCAAGGAACTCCCATTTCTGCAACTTTCATAAAAGAATGAATGCTTGCATGTTAAGAAGAATGCAGATGAAGTGGTTTATATAAATCTGATAGGACCATAGTAACAACAATTCAGTTAAAATATTCATTTATAACTAGTAGCTAGCTAGATTACCGTTACTAAAAACAAAATGCTACATTTCATGAGAGATGTAAAGAGCACCTATAGACACCATAGGTATAGCTTGAAATTGGTTCATGACTCAGTTTCAACAACAACATAAATGCTTGATGGCAACACTTTTATCTGAAAGAGAAATACGAAAGGCAGCAAAAGCAATACCAATTTAATAAGATTATGAGAAAGGAATATAAATGTCATTTTCTACTTTGAGGTATTGATCAGTTTCTTGACAAGTGGTCCCTTGTTAGCCACTATGACAATCTATCTACCTACTAGTCTCTCTACTTTGTGTCCCATCAAAGGCATAGAGATGGGATTGCATTCCTACCATGTTTCCTTTTTTAAACATCGTGATAGCAACTTCGTTTTCTTTTCAACCAATATTTATGTCTCTCTTTAAAACATCGCCACCTAAATGATTCGCTTCTAATTAAACTCTCATACCAAACCTCCATTGCTTCTTTCTTCTGTCTCCGACTTGGAACTATTTCTGATTCATTTAAACATGTTACATATCCAAAATTAATACATTCCAATAACTACCAAAACCATAACTCATTGCAATGTTGAATTCCTACTTCTCACAATAAATTTGGTTTTGCTGCTCCACACCCTTGTTCAAGCTCATCGGTGTAACTTTCTGAATAAAGATATAGCTTTTGTCACCTAAAATCACTCTTTTAAAATGAGGATTGGTGGCATATCAGTCAAAATATGGGATAGTTGGTAAAATCCCTGCAGCTGTTCGAACTAGTTTTGGGGTAGAAAGTCAATTTTCACCAAGTTGTTTAATTGGTATTAATATTTCTAAGGTATGGCTGGTGGAGGCGGCAGCGGTCGTGGGACTCCTTTCAAATATCTTGGAATCTCGGTTGAAGGGAATCACCGAAATCTGCATTTGTGGAAGGGTGTGATCAACGTGGTGAGAGGAAAATTGGCATCGTGGAATAATAGACATTTGTCAATCGGAGGTCGTGTTGTACTAAAATCAATTTTGAGCTCAATTCTAGTTTATCAGTCGTCAATCTTCAAAGCTTCCGTAGACATTATTTCTAAATTGAAATCATTGTTCAAGAACTTTTTGTGGGGTGGGGGATTGGAGAGAAGAAAGGTGAATTGGGTGCAATGGGAGAAAATATGTCGGAAAAAAAAGATGGGAGTTTGAAGTTAAAAGACTTAAAAGGCGTTTAATTTAGCACTGATGGATAAGTGAAAGTGGAGGCTCTTAACAGAGAAAGATAGGTTATAGACGAAAATTTTAAAGAGCAAATATGGGCGAAACGAGGATGAGAGTAGTAACATCAGACTCAATTCACTATGGTGGAGAGAGTTGTACCTTTTAAATAAAGAGGACATCGGTTTCAGAAAAAATTGGTTTGAAAATAATCCTTACATTAAAATTGATGATGACGCAGATACTTTGTTTTGGGGGACCCGTGATTGGATAAGAAGAGCCTAAAATATAGCTACCCGGATTTATACAAGCTGGCCGAAGATAACTATATTTTTGTTAGAGAGGTGATTGGTAGAGCCAATGAGACATTGGATTGGATCGACGTGTGGGAAACTCCGTTGGAAAGTTCAAATATTTAGCTCTAAGAGGAAATCAAGAGTAAATTAGGTGGAATGCATTTAAAGGATGAAGTCAAAGACAATTGGTGGTGGGAAAGTTTGAATATTCAGTAAAGAAAGCATATCAAGAGATCTCGAAAAATAAGGTGACGCATGTAGAAACTAACAAAGATTTAGAATTTTCTTATTCCTCTTAAAATCTCGATCCTTGTTTGAACTATTGTTGGTTTGATTTATGTTATTTGTACTGTAATTTTCTGGGCGGATTAATTTTGGTACTGGTCTCGGTTGCTGTCATGATTTCTATACTGTCATGACAATATTAATTTTTGTATTGGTGTGGTTTGTCTCTGTAATGATTTGGTGTTCCTTGTGGCATCACTTATGCCCTTTAATAAATTTGGCTTTCCCTAAAAAACAAACTAATAAACTACTAGTTAACCGTCTCGTACGACGGTGGATTCGACTTTATTAAAATAATATAAAAAAATTATAATTATAAATTTATTATTGAAAAATATGTACAACACTAAATTTATTTTTAAATTTACAAATATATGAAAAATTTATAACAGTTTATTATCTAAAATTTGAATGTTATTAAATAAATAACATATTCTCGTGTAAATAAAAGAATATACTTAATAGATAATTTAAATTTTAAGATAGTAAAAGTTATATATATCATTTTTTGTGTGTTGATAATTTAAATTCTAATAAAGTACAAATTATATATCAAAAAGAAGAAAAAATTATGAATTAAAGATAAATTGTGGATTTATAAAAATATGATAATTCTACATTATACAACAATGATAATTCAAATATTTTTTAATTACAATTATTTTTAAAATTCTTAGAGTGATGCAGTGGTTATTGATCTATTGTGAACATGATGAATCTTGATAACAAACTTAACTTTGATGAGATAATGGGTTTCACTAATGTGTCTTCATTAGAGTTTTGAGATAATGGGTTTCACTAATGTGTCTTCATTAGAGTTTTGAGCAGCGTATTGGATATAATTTTTGTAAATACTCTAACGTCTAAATCAGTGATTGAATAAGACAAATAAGAATACTTTAGGTTTTGGATAATGTGTACCTTGATTACAACGTTTATCCTCCTTTTATAAGTGGATTCTAGAGTTTTTCGGGGATCCAGAACATTCCTTGTTTGAGCAAATGTCATAGTATTACTCTTTATATCATTTAACGATCTTCATTAAATCATACACTTTGATTAGGTGTATCCCTAGGGCAGACCATAATATGCTCTTGATGTCTTACACCCATCTCACTTATCCCTCTTTTCCTTGTGATCCCTCAACCCAAGTTCACAAGGCTTCGTGTTTGAGATCGTATTGTCTTTAGTATTCGACTAGTGTTATCATGAAGGTCGACTTAGGTAGGAATAGTTGCCTTCCAAGACTAGTCTGGCGTAGCCGAGATGTGGCTTATGAGGTCATTCTATGATGGTGAAGGTATTAATGGATAATTTATCCATCATAGACTTGTCTCATCACTTTGTTCTTTGATATTTTCACCTTTCCTTGACATGAAATAACGTGGATTCTTGAGATATGTTTTCTCTTTTGTATTCTATACATCAATCTCTATCGTTTAGCATGATGGCCTATTACTAGACCAAATATTATGATTTTTCGATGAGCTTTTTGAAATTTCCCTTGTGCACATTATCAATTATCTTAATATTTTTATGCTTAGATATTGTATTTGTTGATGTAAGCCATACATGCCAATACTTTTGGTACTTGTATCGAATTATTTATTAATAATAAAAGGCATTTCTTTATTATGTTTTCTTTTCCAAAATAATAAAGTTCCTAGAATAGTTCGTCTGTTTAATGAAATGTTAAGTGTGACTTAATCATGAGATCTCATTATACATAAGGACACTATTCTTAAAGTATCTGTAGTCGAGCTTTATTGTGAAGTGGGATAACATTAAAGCATTGAGATTATTATGTAGATAGACTGATGATCACATCTCATGGATCATAGATAAGGAGTTATCAAGTTTTGACATAGGTATGAATATTAGGAGTAATATTTATACTGGATTGACCCGCTATGAGAATACTAAGAAAATTATGCAAAGTGTCATAAGTTATTCTCATGGTCATAAGTGGTGTATACCACCCTTTGACCTGAAACCACTATGTACCCAAGATATAGAGTCAAGTGCTTTATTGTTGATCAAACATTGTTCGTAACTAGATGACCATAAAGACAGTTAATTGGTATTTCACAAAGCATGTTGAGGGACATGAGTGACCTAGATGGAATTTTCCCATCCTGCATAACAAGATAAATGTCTAAGGGCCCAATATTGAACTGGACAAGGGTGACACGGTTTATGTCTTGTGTTCAATATAGATATAAGGATAAAAGTATAATTATACACACAAGTATTATCACAAAAAGGTTTTTTCAAATCACATGACATTTTCGTGATTTGGATAACAGTGGTGTGTTGCTAGATACCGCTCACTGTTTATTATGTTAAATGTGTGATTTAATATAATTGTCAATGTTGCAAAAACCTATAGGGTCACACACATAAGGACGAGTTTATGAGAGATAGAGTAAATAAGGAACATTGTAAGGTACGATGCACTTAAGTGAATTGTAAAATACCGTAAGGTACAATACGCTTAAGTTGAATAAGAAATGTGGTAAGGTACCACGCGCTTAAGTGATATACGATACTTATAAGATATGATGCCCATAAGCTTAATTGGGCTTTTAGCTTGCATCCTTATTTGAGCTTTTAGCTTGCAGCCTACAACGCTCCATTTGAATATTTAGTCTATTCATTGAATTTGAATTATCTTGGCATTATTAAGGTGAAACTTAGTTTTTGGTGAAATATTGGTTATATTGGATATTGAGGAAAATACTATTATTATTAATATTATAGTTGTTAGCATTATTATTATTATTATTATTATTATTAGTTTAATATTAGTAATAATAAAATACAATTAAAATAGGGTTAGACCAATTAGAGAGAATTGTTGTCACGTAGAAACAGAGAAGAGAAGAGAAAAGAGAAAACTAGGGCAAGAAATATTCCTCTACTGTTAAAGAATCAAAGATGCAACCTAAGATAAGAGGGTGAATGAGTTATCTAAATGATGGTATTAACATGAGAGGATAGTGAGGGTTCCTTTTCCTCTTTAGGTTTTTCATGAATGAATTGATTAATGTCTCCTTGGTTTGATTTCTATATTTCTATGTGATTTTTGTGTGAAAATCGTGATCCAATTTCTGCCATGAATATGTTGTTGTTGTTGATTTTTCTGTTGTTGTGTTATCCATGAAATCCCAGATCTGGAAAATTATAGATCTAGGATGTTGTACCCCAAAATTTTCCCTCTCATTTCTCAAAGGATCATCTCGGACCCTCAGGTTTGTTTCTGTCAAGTTTCCAGTCTCGAATTACAATTTTCCAAGAAAATCATTCACAAGGGCAAAATGGTCAAAAGCACACTAAAAAGTCAAACTTTGACTTTTGGGCCAAAATCAAGTTTCAACAATCATATTTCATCAGGACAGGAAATTGGTTCATCAAAAAATCAAAATTCAGAAATTACTTTGAAAAAATCAAATTTCTAAATACTTGTAAAATTTTCTAAGTGTTAAGAAAATATGACAGTTTCAGAACTTCTGGGCCAGATTTCACGCAAGTGCAATCAAAATTTGCAAATATGATTTAGAACATATGGAAGTTGTGTTCTTCGATCAGAACATGACCCCTCAAATCTCATTCTTCAGCACATAGAGACTATGTTCTATTCGTCGATCAGAACATCACCATTCGAACCTCACTCTGGTCTTTCCACTCTTCGACCAGAACATCACCAAGCCCCAAAACCTCGTTTTGAACAGTCTACTGCACTGCTATGACACAGTCCTACATCCAGCTGCCACAACACTTCAAATTGGTGATGATCCAGTCCACGCCTGCAATTTTCTCAAACCCCATATTTGCACCAAATTAGCACATAAAAACTGTATTTAAAAAGCAATGAAACAGTATACCAAAAAGGTTCAAATCCCATTTGTTTCCCCCCTCCCCCCCCCCCCCCCCCAAAAAAAGTCACAGCAAACTCATCTATAAATAAGTGGTTTCATCATACGTTTAAGGGGCGGGCTTTGGGAAAGAGAGAGTTAGCACAAAAAAAGTTAAATATGGTTTCAGAGAAAGCTAGAAGCCTTTCTGGTGCGGCATCTTCACCTATTTCCATTTATTTTGATAGTGAAAGGTATATAAATAAGATATAATAACAATTTTAGGTTTAGTTATAATAGATTGTATTTGTATGTTAGGGTTTATTTTGTTTCCATGGTTGAACATGAAGTAATGATTTAAGGTTTAGTGATGTTATATGATTGACGGTAATGCTTTAAAGAATGTTGAATGTTTAAGTATCTATGAAAATTTAAAATTGTTTATAATAAAGTATTGTTTAATCATGTTTTTAACCTAAAGTTGATATAGAACCACAGTTAGGAAATGCATTATGTGTGATTAATAAAGACATAGTGGTCTGGTGATTGAATGCAG